CTACTAGTAGCTAGAAGCTACTGGTAACAAGGGCATCGCTACTAGTAGTAACAAGGGCATTACTACTAGTAGCTAGAAGCTACTAGTAACAAGGGCCTCGCTACTAGTAACAAGGGCATTACTACTAGTAGCTAGAAGCTACTGGTAACAAGGGCATCGCTACTAGTAACAACGGCATTACTGCTAGTAGCTAGAAGCTACTAGGTTGGAGGCCATTGCTATTAGGTTGGAGGCCATTACTACTGGTAACTAGAAGCTTATAGGAGCAATAAATGATTTGGCCACAGGGCCATAGAGTCCATAGAGACTAGTCTGCAAGTGGCAAGTGTCAGAGCGACCGGTCCAAGACCTCCACCGGTCCATGGATTTGCAGGCGTATTCGATCAATCCTTCTGTGCTGCAGTTGTTAAGAATCATGTATCCTTAAGTGGTAAACCTTCTTGGATTAACATGTCTGGGGTCCTGTGGTCGCACCACACGGACCGGTTCTGTTTTCAATCCAAATAAACTAGTAGTAATGCCCTTGTTACTAGTAGTTTCTTGTTCCTAGTAGTATGGCCAGGAGCCCCTAGTAGAGTACTTGCTCCTAGTAGCGATGCCAGGAGCCCCTAGTAGCTTCTAGCTTCTAGCTACTTATTCGCACCATGTTGCAACCCTCCTTCTTCCTGCACGTTCGCTTTGCGAAGCCCTGAGCGTTACATTCGAGAACGTCAGTGCTGACTGAACCACCGGATTCCTGGCTTGGAGAGACTTCCCCTTCGACGGCCTCCATGGTTCACCTTGGGTGGTGAATATGGATGAGAGCAGTCGAGAAAGAATCGCAAGAACATGCTCATAGTATATTGTAGTACAGGAGGAATGTGGAATCTCAATTTGATACACATATAGTTGTATCATTAGTTTTATCTTATGATTATCTATGTAATCTATGTAATCTTGTTGCTTTTGTCGCGATGCCAATCCTTGTGGAGAATCATGATACAGCCATTGTGAACGTGATCAAATTGTTGGCCACTCAAGACAAAGATTCACAATCTGATGTATCGACGTACGAATTGAGCAAGGAAACACTCACAAGGCCAAAGCCCCCAGGCCTATTTTGGTCCACCGGGCTACCAAAACAACATATTGGACTTATTGATGTGTGAACCATAAACACGGTAACATGCATCCAAAATTCACTGCTTGGAGCTTCTGTCTACGTTGCTTCTGATGGCGACCAAGGCAGCATCCGAATCTGCACATTCACCCTCTTCAGGGTCCAACTGCCTAGTCATTGTTTCATGCCACTGATTAGCATTGACCTTTTCATTCATCTACGTTCACTCTGGAATGCCACGTGGACGACTCGGGCTAGTCGCGAGGACGAGTCGCCTTCGGCGCCTGCTAAGAGACCCGGCTTCCAGCCACATCGGTGTCCCAATCGGCTCGTGTTCGGGAGAACACAGCCAACAGCTGCGATGGAGCCGGACGGAACGAACGTCCTTTCGGCGAAACGACAACGACTCAAACCCGACAAATTCAGGGGGTATCCTGGCCATGTCCCATTCGGAATGCATTCCTGCCTGTCATGTCCTGCCTGTCAACACAGCGAGGACACCTCAAAGTCTTCCAAAGTCTTCTTTTGGGGGGGGAGTGCAACCTTCGCTCGAGTCTAAGCGGGCTTGGTGGAAAGCTAAATAGCAGAAACCAGTTGCGACAGGAGCCATAAAGATGAAGACATGAAGGGAGGCAAGTGGGGAGAAGCGAGGCAGAAAGACCTCAGGATAGCATCTTTAACGCAGGAATTCAGAACCTACAGCAACTAAGTTGTTCCTTGAATAGCATCGTGCAACTTGTAAAAGGCCATACGAGTGAGATTTGAAGGATTCTAAGAGAAATACAAATGGATTCTCGCCCGAGACTTTTCCAAAGAGTCTCTCACACACTTGTTGGATCGACCTGAAGACCCCTAAGGAGACTACCAGCATCCACTGACATGAACTCTGAATAGGTTTGAAACTCCTTGGCTGGCTTAAGGGGCTTCCCAAGATCAACATCAGGAAACCACATGAACAAGATGTCAGCTTTCGGGAATCCCCATGACTCACGATTAAAAAAGAAACTGACGGCTGCTACAGTTACAAGCAGAAAAAAAAGAACAAAACCAAACAAAAACAACTAACTCAAAGTCCAGCCAAAGACCATTCTCCATCACATCTGCCCCTCCGCGCCCGGCTCCACGCGCTGTTTGGCTCCGGACCCCGTCCGAAGGTCGTCGACGGTCGCCGCCACGGTGGATTTCGGCACGTGGCGACAGGTGGATTTGGTGCGAAACCGTCGCCGCATTGAAGAGGGCCTTTCTTGGGATATAGCTACTATAGTAGCAGGAACAAGGTTCGCTACTAGGGGCTCCTGGCCTTACCATTAGGAGCAAGGACGCACCTAGGGGCTCCTGGCATCGCTACTAGGAGCAAGGACGCTACTAGGGATGTAGCAATGGCCTCCAAACTAATAGTCATGGCCTCCACCCTAGTAGCGATGGCCGCCAACCTCATAGCGATGGCCGCCAATCATGCTGAGGTTCGGAGTGGCCTGGAGTAGTTTTCATGGTTTTCCGTGATTTAATCATCTGGGAAGCATGACTATGTCATTACAAAGTTGCATCGGTGTCCATGGAAGCTACATTTTGCAACATGGTGCTTGTCACCATGCAGAATCTGCGTATATATTTATAATGGTTTTGAATATCTGAATACCTGAACATTGAATGTATAGTTATTGAGCCTTCTGACGGGCGACGTCATATCTGCTTTTGGGCTCGAACTGTAGATTTTCCCTCCAGCCGGGGCTGGCTCCTTCCTCTAGAAGACAAGTATGAAAGCTGTTTTCAGCTGCACTGGCTGTCCTGGAGACATGACCAAGAAGCTACTAGGGGCTCCTGGCATCGCTACTAGGGGCAATGTTCGCTAACAAGAAGCATCAACCCAAACATCAACCCAAATACATCGAACAATCCTTCCTCTCTGCGGCGGTTTCCTGAAAGCCATATCTCAGCCGGGGCTGAGTAAAGCCACGGGCAGCTGCCCAATTTGCAGCGAATTAACCTCTTCCTTCAATTGCTGTCTCTAAACATCGCCATCGATGTTCATCTCTTTCAGGCGAAGTTACTACTAGCTTCTTGTTACTACTAGTAAGGCACCTGTTCCTACTAGCGTGGCACTTGTTACTACTAGCTTCTTGTTACAAGAAGATGTTTGAAACTGCCCATCTTTTCAGACTCGTGTCCGAGGCCAAGTGCACTGTATCATCTTTGGATATCTTTGGGCTGTTTCCTTGCTAGGCGCCTTAGAGCTGTGTTGCCTCTCTGGAAGGGAAAAGGTTGAGACTTAGAAAACACTTTCGGCCGCGCGAACACATCAGGAACCATTCATGTGCGCAGTCTCGAGTTCTTTTGCCAATCCTGTCTGCAGTCCATTTGGCTGGTTGCCCCTATGAGCACCTATCCTTGAGTATCGACCCCTTACCCATTGGCCACCTGTCCCTCAACAGCCCTGATCTTGATCCTGAGTTGGGGCCGTGTATGTACGCATACCTGCGGTAGAGCAAGACTTGGCATGATCGACAGCACCAAGATCTTCGACCACAAAGCAGGAATGTGTCTGTTCCGAACCTTTTTCTCCCTTCGTGGTACCGGGTTTCTACGTTGACCTGCCACCCATGACCTGCCAGTTCTCAGCTACGAATTGGGTCTCGAGTCTCTCGCGTTCCTGGCCGCGCTGGGATGGCTCATTAGGCCTCAGCGCTCTTGCGGGAGGCCTTCCACGCGCAGGATCGGATTCGCTTGGAGGTTTCGTGAAGCGAACTGCCAGTGACCTTGTTCGAAAGGAACGGCCATGGATTCCGGGCCAAGCCCGATCCTTTCCGACCTTTCCTGCTGAAGCACAAAAGGATAAGCAATGGTGGTCAGGACTCTCCTGTAAACTGAACCTCATAAAGCTATTTAAAAAAAAGCTGCTTTTCATCAAGACTCTTGACAATTTGCTCGATTTGACCGCAATAAAACGGATCAATCCGAAGATTGCCTATGGGAGATGGGGACTTTGGTAAGTAACCAACCCCCGTGTCCGGGTGACTTTCCCTTGAACCTTACCGTTGAACACGCCTCTCTGGCACTCCAACCCACATCGCAGCCTTACTCAACTCATCATTTATCTACATTCACCTCAGCTATATACTTGTTGGATGGGTAGGCCTTTACACTAAGGAAAAAATTCCCAAACCATGATAGATTCCATGGTTTAACGTAATATTACAATTACTCCATCTTCCAATTGAAAACAATCAATGACATCCAATCCCCCCAGCCCCAGCCGTCTCCACCCATCGGCCGCACTTCCGGCGCGCCTGGCGGATCTCCTGCAGCGGCAGCCGAGGAGCATTCTCCGCCTGGTGCCGGATGCGGACGGAGCCACCTTTTGTCGAACATCAAAGATGAAGGATTTCACATGGTTGATGATTCAACAGGAACTAATTTCCACATTTCTTTGATGAAATTAGTTCCTGTTTCTGACTTCTTCTGTATTCTTGACCCTTAGCCAGCCTAGAACTCATAGTAGCCCCCCCCTTGACACTCCACCTGGTCACAAAGCAACTCTCATCCGCCCAAGCAGCGCCTGCTTGGTCCGCCGGCGCTTGGGCGGCGCGCTGGGCGGCTCCTCCAGCTTTTGCAGCTTCTCCTTCAGCTCCTGAATGGCATCAGAACGGAGCGGCGTTACATCTGTTCGGAGCGGGGTACTGTTCAGGTCCTGAGTCAGAGGTTGGTTGGTCACCTTTCATTTTTGGTTTGGGGTGTTAGTATACAACATGATGCAACATCGAAAATGGAAGGATGACGATCTTATCCTGCAAATGTGGGGTGTTGGGGTCAAAAAAAAGAAAGAAAGAAAGCAAGGACCTTACTAGTAGTAACAAGGACGCTACTAACTAGAGAGAAAGAAAGAAGGAAAGAAAGCACGCTCGGGTCAAGTCCCACACCTCCGAGGGAGGCGCTGAGTTGGTGGACTCGTTTTCGATGCCCTTGCGAGCAGGTCCTGCCAAGCACGGGCAAAGTTTCACGGATATTCTGGAAGATCTGGGAGCCTAGCAGATCGAGGGAGCGTATCCCAAGCACATTCCAGCGACCAATCTGACAGGTTGGTGAATCAAATAATCAAACGATCCAAAAAAAACAGCACTAATCGCAAGGTCATGAGTCATTCGTCAAAACTCAGCCAGAAAACCATCTGAAGTGGATCCCAAAAATTCCGATCACCTATTATAGCCTATACTCCGTCTCATCTCGTCCACGAACTCTCTGCATGACCCGACCCAGGCTGACTCGCCTTTCTTGCGCTGCGCACAACGCATGCGATGATGCAAAGGCATCGTCTTGGGCACCTGGCAGCATGGCAACATGCGGCATCCGTTTAGGTTGGTGCTGCAGGGATGCTGTGGCCGGATGCCAGCAAATTGGGCTTGATCGAGTTGTCTATAGATGTTCAAGAGACATTGACCTCGGTGTTTCTTCTTCGGCATATAGGCGTTGTCGCATGAGGAGATACTTAGAAAAGTTTGTCGCTGGTGTTTTCATCACACCCTCCGGAAACTTTTCCACTACGAGCAAGAAGCTACTAGGAACAATAGGAGCAAGGACACTACTAAGGGCTCCTGGCCTTACTACTAGGAGCAAATAGCTACCAGTAGCTTCTTGTTCCTAGTAGCAAGAATGCTACTAGTAGTAATGCCCTTTTTTACTAGTAGCGATGCCCTTGCATCTTGTTCCTATTAAGAAGAAGCTGTGCTTTTCCCATCGCTCCGGTGCTCGGAATCTTTTCTTCTCTCCGGTGCTGCAGCGCAACAAGCCCTCTGGTCTGGTAGATCTAGATGCCTGGCGACCTGGCGAGCAAAGAAGATAGATACTCCAAGTGTTTCAAAAAAAGGGGTGCACTCAAAAAGTCAAGGTTTAACCAATGGTCATACTGCCAAAAGGGATTCTGATTCTTCAAGAAGGAATATCCAAGGATATCCAAGCTTATCTTGTACTCTTAACACATGGTCATAAAATGCAGCTGGACAATTCCCATAAGACAATGTGCACAACCATGTCCTCTATCAACCTCTATCCAGTTCCATGTCCTCTGGCCTCGTCTTCGGCTCCAACTTGGCCGCAGGAATTCCCACTGCCGTCGTGATTGCACGCACGGCTTTCGGGTGGGGTCGCGTCTCACGCGCCCGGGTTGGGCGGCGGCGCGTCCGGCGGCGGCGGCGGCATGTCCGGCGGAGGTGGTGGGCACTCGGTGAGGCCAAAGGAGTTGGTGCCCATGAAGGCATTGATGAGGCGCAAGGATTCCAAACCCCGACCTGAGCGAAAGATCTTTTGAGAGGGAAATGGTAGATGAGGCCCGGGACAATCTGTCTTCAGGAAAATCTCCGGTGCTTTGAGTCATTTTTTGAAGAACTGTGTCTATGTGAATTTGAGCGATGTTCAATCCATGCGTGACTGAAGACCGTGAACTGGCCATATATGTTGTCACTCTGGACCTTTTTTGACACACAGCATCAGGATTCCAGGGGTAGTGCGGTTCGTGAATCACCCCATCTCACCTTGCTTGGCCTATGCCTAAGTCTTACACAAAGACGTTCCCCTTTTAGCCGATGAAGTGAGAGATAGTGAGAGCAAACTTGCGAACCACCAGCAAAGTCATCTCTCATTCTCTTCGTTCGTCATTCATCCAGCCCCATCCTCGGCTCAGCTCAGCTCCCCGTCTCCTCCGTCACGGTCGTCTTCAGTCCCAGGCACCCATCAAGCTGATGGTGTGTGGCTCCAGATCCCCTAATCGAACCAGCGTTCGTTGGTCGCGCCGGGAGGCGGACATGTGAAAAAGGTCCTTTACCCGAAAAAAGGCACGTTGCCTCTGCTCATGGTCTATGTCTGCTTCCCCTATCACACATCTGACATGAGAAAGGAAGCAAACATGAACAAATCCAGGAGTTGATGAACCATCAGGATCTGCAAGCGAGTGTCGAATGGTGCTACACCAAATACTAAAGTACTATAAAGGTTTTGAAGGATATATTCTGCGGTACTGTCTCCCAAACACAGGTAAACTCCAAACCTCTAGAAACATGTCAATCCTTTTGTGTCAGAGGGAAAACAGCAGCTTGGATGAAAAACAAACCCTAATAGAAAAGCACAACTTGGTGTGATTGTTTCACAAATCGGCCCATTTATAACTCCTGACATTACCTATTACTATATTGTTAGTACCAAATCCTTAAGACTTCACGCGCGTACAATGACTCATACGACTCATATGAGTCACCTCTGATCACTTGCGGACCCAGCGGCGATTTCCCACAAGCGGAAAGTCCTGAGAGCGCCGGTGGAGAGACCAATGTGGGGCTTAAAGAGAGTGGATGAAAGACTCTGGTCATGGTAAAAAATGGTGAAAGGTTCCTTGACCTACTGAGATTCACACCAGGAGCCCCTAGTAGCGTCCTTGCTCCTAGTAGCACGGCCAGGAGCTCCTAGTAGCGTCCTTGCTGCTAATAGTAAGGCCCGGAGCCCCTAGTAGCGTCGTCCTTGCTCCTAGTAGCACGGCCAGGAGCTCCTAGTAGCGTCCTTGCT